GAAGTCACCCGCTATCACCATTTTCTATTGCTTACTCTTATTTAGACTGTGATGTATTAGGGATTTTACAGTATATTCCTTTAAAGCTTATGATTCAGTCTCACCAGATTTTGGGAGTTATTGTCTGGTATTATTAAGTTTTATTATGATAGCTAGATGGTTTAAATTTAAAGTTATATTGTTATTTCCGCTATTTCTCCATGCATGTTAGGCTTACCTAGTCTTAGAGACTAGGTGCCATCATGACATCCTACGGTGGGAGATTGGGGTCGTGACACAAAGTCTTCTACTACGAGATAAGACTTTTTTCCTAAGGTGCCATGCAAAGCTTGTACTGAATTTATGAGCATGATTTTATATTTTGAGGCTTATGGGATTGTGATAAGAAGTCGTAATCCCTCTATCTCGAAATTTGGTATGTGCGAGGAGTGGAGGATGTGATTCTTGTGGGTTGGAAAAAAATGGAGGAGCATGCATGTGTTAAGGAAGGTTGTTGGATGGTGTGGGGATATTGTAGATTGATTTCTGGCTTAAAATTCATTGCGGGTAGAGAAATTTTTATTGTGGAGCATTGTAGTCGATTTTGGCATATTAAGTGTTTGGTGAAATTCCTAAAAGAGCTTTATCGTACGAGTCCTTCTAGTAATGATTCAGTTTGTTTGTGTTGCAATAGATTGAGGTGTTTCGAGTAGCGGAACTTCGTTGGAACTCGAAGGAAAAGCTTAATCAAGGTATGCTAGCTAAACTCTCTTTCTAGAATCGGAATCCATGAGTTCCTCGTATGTTCCAAATGTGGTTTGTTCAAACTCATATTCCTACTTTTCCAAATTACTTCGATGATTGAATTGCTTAAATGCTTATGTGCTCGAGTCATGTTCAAATTGCCCCTATCATGTTATGCTCCCCCTTCGTGGGAAAATGTTCAAATATGGTAGTTGTTACTAATGCATATGATTTGAATCCATGTTTCAATTGTAAATCACCATGCTCTCCTTTGTAAGTATTTTTAATGTATTTTGAGTTCTTACATACTCATAAGTTGAAACTATAGATATCATGCTCCCCTATGAGAAAAGTATTCCAAGAATAAATGGTGTATTAATCGCTTACGATTCTAACTTATGTTTTGATTGCCAATCATTATGCTCCACTCTTTGAAAGAAATTCAATGTGTTCAAGTCACTCATTACTAACGAGCTCAAAGCTATGATTTCCAGAATGTTCTATACATTGATGTTTGTGACAATGATCCTTGGAAGTAAAGAAACCGAAGTGTAAAATATGAAATGCATACATCGTGCCATGAATGAAGAACATTAGGTATGGCTAAGAGAGTCAATGAAATGAAGATGTTGTGAATGGTTAAAAGTGCTAATGAAGCGATAGATGGCATGAAAGGCAATAGATGAATACATTTATATTTCTATTTTCTTAATAAATAAATAAATAAATATTTTTGGGAGTATCACTGGAGTACCGAGGAAGGGTGGGTTGTAAAGGTCCACACCCGAAACTACACGTGTCGGTGTAGGAGATGATTGAGAGACAGAAATTACCTTATACTATGATGAAATTATTCCCCTTAATTGGGATGTGTTTACTGCTAATATATGATCATATCACCATGTCGATGCACACGACATTGTGGGAAGACGACTTAGCCGATCGAGTGATGATCGGACACCATGACGCGCACATAGTGATTCCTCCTTGTTATCATTATATTTGACTCGTATTACCATGTCGATCCATATTCATTCGTGGTAAGACGGCTTAGCCGATTGAGCGATAATCAGACTCCGTGCCTCATGGTGTGATGACTGGGTATCCATGTCCACCCGCATATATTGGAGTGAGACGGCTTAGCCGGTCGAGCGGCGATCGGACTTCATGCCTCGTGCATGGTGTATGATCGGTGGCTAATGATCTCCCAACCGAAATTGTTAATACTTAGAGTCTGTTTGGAAAACCACCCTGTAATTGGAATTGGTGTAATTACTAGGATAGTAATTACACAGCCTAGTAATTACATAGTTATATAATTACGACGACATGTTTGTTTGTCATAGTGTAATTACAGTGTAATTACAAGTTTACTGTTTGGTTGCACAAGTGTAATTACACAGTTAGATTAAATTTTAAATTAAGTAATTATCAAAACTTAAAATCTAATATAATAAGTATATGCCTATAAATTTTTATATGTATAAATGATATTATATTTGATATGTAAGATGTATATTTTTTCGTGAATATACATGAATTGGTAATTATATATTTAAAACTAATATTGTAAAAATAATATATATATATATATATATATATATATATATATATATATTAAGTTAATAATATTTAGTTTAGAAACTTATAAAAATTAAAAATATATGTATTGTAAGAACATCTTGGAATTCATGTTTGATAAAATAAATTAATATCTATAAATATAATGTCATAACATTATTCAAATGTTTGACAAAACTAATCTATCAATTCTAACTAAAAAACGGACAACGTGCAATGTGAGCCAATACTACTAAAACAAGTAAATTGGAACCATGAATATAACACATTTTGAAAATTCAAAAAATAAAATAAAATCATTTAACATATGTCAAATTCCAACATAATAATAGTAAGTTCCACTGCAACTTAAGATTAGGAAACATGAAAAGTTTATAATCACATTCAACAACGAAATTTCACTTTAATTGCATCACTCATTATATGCCAAGCTTGTTAATNTGCAGTAATCTGCTTTTGAGTGTTAATCATTAATTTTCCTCAACGTTTCGAGACTAACGAAGTAAATATTTATTACTGAATTATTGGTTTTTAGTTATTGGGATGGAAGTTAATAAAGTTGAATCCTTTTCCCAATCCATTAATTTTTCAACCTTTTGAGGAATAAAGATAACATTTTTAATTACTTAGTTGTTGGTTTTCAGTTGTTGGAATGGAAGTAAAACAATTTGATTGATATTCCCCATGATCTTACTATTCGGACCTCAATTTTTGTTCTCTAAGCATTTTAAATCAATTTATTTAGAATATTGTAACAGATGCTAAGCTCACTAAGCTCAGCAATGGTGAAAGATTCTGGAAAGAACAGAGTAAAGAGAAGAAATTAGAGTGTAAGAGAGAGAAGCAGAGAAAAACCTCTTCGCGTTCGCGAGAGGAGCCTCGCTTCGCGAAGAAGGAATTGAGGGACGCCAGGAGTTAGCCTTCGCATCGCATTCGCGGAAGGCTGGGGTTCGAGTTCATCGCGTTCGCGAGAGGGCACTCGCGATCGCGTAGAGTAGATTGGAGTCTGAGAGGCACAGGTCTTTTGTTCATCGCGTTCCCGTCGCGGGGTCGCAATCGCGAAGGTGTAGGATGAAGAAGCATCGTATTCGCGAAGGGGAAAATTGGTCAACTCAAATTTGTGCTCCGCGAATGCNAGAACATCATGGAATTCATGTTTGATAAAATAAATTATTTGACAAAACTAATCTATCAATTCTAACTAAAAATGAACAACATGCAATATGAGCCAATACTACTAAAATAAGTAAATTGGAACCATGAATATAACACATTTTCAAAATTCAAAAAAAAAGTATTTAACATATGTCAAATTCTAACATAATAATAGGAAGTTCCACTGCAACTTAAGATTAGGAAACATGATAAGTTTATAACCACATTCAACAATGAAATTCCACTTTAATTGCATCACTCGTTATATGCCAAGTTTGTTAATGACTCATTATTTCTAATATTAGGAGCTGTAGTTTCAAAAATTGAATAATAAAATAAATAAAAAATAAAAAATAAGCAATTACATGGAATCACAAAAAGTAAAGATAGAGAATTAAAAGATAAATAATGTACAGAGAAAAATGTATTTTAAAATTTCAAAAGAAATTAAAATGTAAAAATAAGATTAAAAATTAAAATAATAGAAATAAGAAGTTATAAAGAAAATAAATTAAAATAAAAACAAAAAGGAATGAAACTAAAAAATAATATTGTAATTACACAGTGTAATTACCACCCATTCTTACCTCCCCTTGAGAATTGGAGAGTGTAATTACACCCAATTCCACGCTGACCAAGTAATTACTTGGCCAAACAAACATGCCAAACTGTGTAATTACACCCAGTTACACCCAAATCCATTTCCAAGGTGGCTTCCCAAACAGGCTCTTAATTGGAATGGTCATGTTTTAACTTGGCATTAGTATTACTTGAGTTCTTATAGATTTCATGTTTCTCTCCTTTTATGTTGGTAATCTACTCCATGAGAGGGTATTTAGTTTTACATACTAGTACTATTCCATATGTACTAACGTCCCTTTTGCCGGGGGCGCTGCATATTTAATGGATGTAGGTGGTTCCTCAGCAGACGGCTTTGATCCTCGTTAGCAGCTTACCCTCGCGGATTTTGGTAAGCCCTATTCTGCTCTGGGGCCTTATATCACTTGATATCGTACATTGTGTTTTGAGGTATAGTGGGGGCCTTGTCACCGACACTTTCATGTTACTATTTTATTTCACTTAGAGGCTCCGTAGACACGCTGTGGGTGGTGTTCGATCTGGGGTAATGAACTAGAAATGTTGTAGTTTACAAACATGTTTCCTCTCGTAAATATGAACTTGTAATATTTTGAAAATTATAAATGAAGCTTCTATAAGTAATGGAAAAAGGATGTGGTACACTTTACTCTTCATATGTCTATTTCTTGTTACTCATTCTTAAATTGTTCATGGGTAAGATTGGTAGAAGGCATTAAGTAGGCTTGCTAGACTGGGATATCTCGGTCGAGCGTTGGTCGCGCTACTCAAGGTCGGGCGTGATATTAATATATAGTTTATATATATCGGCTAGAAAAAATAAATAATAAATTCAGCCAGCTATACGATTCCAATTTTATTTTTAATAGCAATTGGATGAATTTTATTTTTTGATAAATTCATCCCATTTAAGCTAGCAGAGGACCAAAAGAGCCATTTGCGGCAAATGTCTTTTTAACTAATAAGATATGAAAATTATTGTTCGACATTAAAACCTCCATTAGTGGGGTTTTTATGATGTCACTCAATTTGACTAATTTGAGCACCGAATCTAAACGGTTGATTTTAACCTGATGGCGGATGACTTAACTCTGCGTAATTCGGCATAATAGGTGGGAGACTAAAAAGAGGTATCATTTCCTCTCCATCTGTGTCTCCGGCGACTTCGTCGGAATCTCTTCTCCGGCGTTACTTAGTTGTAAGTTCTTTCTCTATTCGCTTCTCTGTTTCTTACGTTAGAGTAACCCTAATACCTTCACCGTAATTTTAGTCCACGAATACGAATTGCGACGTGGCTTGCTATATTCCTCTATTTTTACTAAGTTTTTTTCTTCTTTGTTTCTTAAAAACAAATTTACGAAGCTAATTATACTTCAGGTTTGATAAAATAATTGTGCCTTGAAGTTGTGATGTTGCAGTAATCTGCTTTTGAGTGTTAATCATTAATTTTCCTCAACGTTTCGAGACTAACGAAGTAAATATTTATTACTGAATTATTGGTTTTTAGTTATTGGGATGGAAGTTAATAAAGTTGAATCCTTTTCCCAATCCATTAATTTTTCAACCTTTTGAGGAATAAAGATAACATTTTTAATTACTTAGTTGTTGGTTTTCAGTTGTTGGAATGGAAGTAAAACAATTTGATTGATATTCCCCATGATCTTACTATTCGGACCTCAATTTTTGTTCTCTAAGCATTTTAAATCAATTTATTTAGAATATTGTAACAGATGCTAAGCTCACTAAGCTCAGCAATGGTGAAAGATTCTGGAAAGAACAGAGTAAAGAGAAGAAATTAGAGTGTAAGAGAGAGAAGCAGAGAAAAAGAGAGAATATTCATTTAGCGTAATCTCCCACTCTGTTACAGCTCGTACAAATACAGCTAAGAATGCAAATACTGCTAACACGTGTCCTAGACTATAAAGGACATACAGAAACTTAGATGGACCTAATTGACATAAAATAATATCAACTTAAACCATAAACTGAGCAAAAGTGTATCCTCTAATCTCTCATTAAACAACTCAATAACTAACATTTCTAATATCATCTTCACTCGTTACAAATATAAATCCTAAAGCAAAATCAGCTATCCGAATAGGCTCCAGTTTTTGTCGCAGAACTTGATAATTGAAGATTTTAGAAGTGGGGAGTAGTGGAATAGGTTGTTGAGAATGAGAAATGAGGGTGGTGTACCCTTTTTTTGTGGTGCAGCATTTTCTCATGGCACATTAGTGAAGAGCCGACAGTCGCGATAATGTTTACGAGCCAGTTCCTCTTCTGTTATAATAACTACATCATATATACTTATCAAAATAATGATAGTAATTATAATCATAACTAATTATATTATTTCATCATTTGTGAAAAACTATTGAAAAGAGAGTTTCACTGGATGATGTATGCTCCGTTAATGGACTTCAGACACAACTTTTTGCGGGAGGCCATCCTGCTTGTTTCGTTCGTATCTATACGTATTAATCACTATGTTGCTACTAAAAAAGTCTTTTCTTTTTAAATGTATATGTGAGCAGTGTTAATTTTGATTTTGGAGCTATATGCACTAAGTTTTGAGAATAACTTTGTTGATGTATTAGTATTTTCCGCAGCTATTTAATCCTTCAGATTCTAAATCCCTTTCCTTTCATGAATTGATGTCCTTATGCTGCAGTGCTGTCGATACAATAGAGAGAGTGATTTATTGAGGTGATTGTCCATCATGGATTGTAACTGCTTTGATCCACAATGGCCTGCTGATGAGTTGTTAATGAAGTATCAGTACATTTCCGATTTTTTCATTGCAGTTGCTTATTTCTCTATCCCAATCGAGTTGGTATACTTTGTCCAGAAATCGGCAGTTTTTCCGTATAGATGGGTGCTGGTGCAGTTTGGTGCTTTCATAGTTCTTTGTGGAGCAACACATCTTATCAACTTATGGACATCTACCGCCCATACAAGGACTTTGGCAATAGTGATGACTACCGCAAAGGTCTTCACTGCTGTGGTATCATGTGCAACTGCTCTCATGCTTGTGCACATCATTCCGGATCTATTAAGTGTCAAAACTAGGGAGCTATTCTTAAAAAACAAAGCAGCAGAGCTTGATCGTGAAATGGGTCTTATTCGGACACAGGAGGAGACGGGTAGATATGTTAGAATGCTAACACATGAAATCAGAAGTACTTTGGATAGACATACTATTTTGAAGACTACACTTGTTGAGCTTGGAAGAGCACTGGCACTGGAAGAGTGTGCATTGTGGATGCCAACTCGTACTGGACTGGAGCTTCAACTTTCTTACACTCTTCGTCATCAAAATCCAGTTGGATTTACAGTACCTATACAACTTCCTGTAATTAATCAAGTTTTCAGTACAAATCGTGCTGTTAAAATATCACCAAATTCTCCCGTCGCAAGGCTTCGACCTGCTGGGAAGTACATGCCAGGTGAGGTGGTTGCTGTCAGGGTCCCCCTTCTGCATCTCTCAAACTTTCAGATTAATGATTGGCCTGAACTTTCTACGAAGCGCTATGCTTTGATGGTTTTGATGCTTCCTTCAGATAGTGCAAGACAATGGCATGTCCATGAATTGGAGCTTGTTGAAGTGGTAGCCGATCAGGTTTGAATATTTCTTTAATACGTGATGTAATATCTGATAGCTCCCCTTTTGACAATGATGTTCAATGCTAGATTGATTTTGGTTTAGATATTACATAAGAAGAGCTACGGAACCAATCTTAATGAGTAATTAATTGATGCAGTTTCATCTGCACTGATTATCTTCATAAAATTATTCCTCTTGATTCACATCCTTTAATAAATGCTTGGGCTGAATTTTTTATCTTTTCCTGAAATAGTTAAATATCGTCTATCATTTATGTCACTTTTGAAATAGACTGTGCCAATGAAGCCGGACTACAAAATCCGAATAATCCAGTGGCTGATGGGATGCAACAAGAATTAACTGCTAAATCATGATGCTGTGACTTTCAGATTGTTGCTTTCCTTGATTGCTTTTTGCTGGATAGGGTGCCTGCGCTGTGTGGTTGCTTACATAATTGTCTTTTCAGTCATTACAACTTTTGTCCACGGGGAGAGAAAAGCTGGGGAGAAATATGAACGATGGTTATATTAATTATAAAAAATAAATTCTAATGGGTTTATTCAGTGTGTCATAGCAGATTTTGTTTTGGAAGGACTGTATGTCTCCTTCGCTTTTGGTTCCTCCATTACTTTAAAAGGTGAAAGCAAACAAAAGCACTGAGGTCTATTAGGCCTTTAAGCGAAAAAGGGTAAATATAGTAAGGATAATAACCATAAACATAAACAACAATTGTATGACTAAAGAATTGAAAAGATTACAGTCAAGTGAAATATTTGTTATTTAGTGTCGCCCTCAAGAAAGAATTTATTGGTGATGAGATTCACACTGTAGCCCCTTAGTGCATATGTACTGAAGCGTGGTATAAGCAAGGAAAAGCACTCAGCTTGTTTTGCACCTAGCTCTTAAAGATAGCACTCGACAAAACTGTCTTCCACGACTTTTATGCTTTATTAGCTTTTTTTTTTTTTTTTTGGGAGGGGGGATATGTGCGTAGAAGAAAAGACGCGTGAGATCTCTTCCGGAGGAGTTTTTCTGAAGGAGCAGTTCTCCATCCCTCAGTTTTCCTCCCCCCCCCCCCCCTCCCCCCTCTTTATTCCTAGTAATTCGAGAAAATAAATGAAAAAAAAGAAATTAAGTATAAGAAATTGAGATTAACATTTTCGCTATGAATTTCCTTGCTATAATAGAAGTTTGTGGAGTGATTGTAGTATCCTTAAAAGTGGATAAGTTCAAGCTTCTAGTAGACTATGATTAATTTATCAACTAGGGCTCGACTGAAAGCAGCTCTCCTTGTGGGACTCGAATCCATAATTTCCTTATTAGAAGTCAGGAGCCTTATCAATTAGGCCATGGGCGGTCTTGCATAAGGATGAGGCTGCCTGTTATGGGTTTCAATACACCTCACTCAACTACTAAACCCCTTTGAATATTCCTCCGCGGCTTTCAGACTTAGGTTTAATATAAATATCCTTCTCTTTTTCTTTTTCTTCTAATTTGACTTTTAGCACATCAAGAAACTACATTGGTGTTATAGATTTCAAGGCATGTAGAAATGCATGTTAGCCAAGAGGAAAAGAGAGAGTAAATTTCACAGATGGTCATTTAATTATGACTTTTTTTCACCAAAGTCATATAACTTTGTTTTCTCATAAATAATAATCCCATTAAAATAGGAATGACCCAACCCGACCCGACTCACCCGACCTAATCCCCATATATAAAAATTATTTCAGCACGACATGTCTATCAGTATCTCATGCATTCCAAACTAAGTTTTTTGTGGGGGAAGAATTTATTTTTAGTATATATATATATATATATATTATCGGCTATTATTTTTTGGAGTGGCTACAAATATATATTTCTCCTATTTTAATTGGATTATTATTTATTAGATTGAAAATAAAAAACGAAAAAACGTGAAATTAGAAAAACTACTCTAAGATATGTTTTTTGGTCACTATGATTTTTATGTGAGTTAGTGAAAGTTTTATTATTTTTGCGTGAGAAAACAGAGTTATATGACTTTGGTGAAAAAAAGTCATAGTTATATGACCATTAAAGAGACCAAAACTCTAATTTCTTTGTAAGTTTGGAGCACTATGTTTGTGTATTTGAGAAAACTAATTTAATTTGATAAATCTATATGGTCATTATTGTGGAAAATGATGATCATAATTAACCCCCCCCCCCCGCCCCACCAC